AACTTATATGACGATAATGATGGGAGGAATCAAAGTGGTAATTAGTTCTCTCCTTCTTCCTTGTGTGTATAGGGAGAACGATAGATGGGATAAAAGCCAGGCCATGAACACTGAACATGAAACTTAGGTGGGCTGTAGTACCTTATTTATGACTGGATCTATAAAGGAACAACAGGAGGGGAGATTCCATGTCTGAATATAAACAAATAAAAAAGGAGGACATTCTACTTTTCAAAGAATTGGAGACACACATGTGTACACATATAAACACACAATGAATTATATGTCTATATGGCTGTCACTGATTTTTGGCTCTGATGATAGCTGGAAATTGCTGAAATTGCTCCAAGAGTACAGTCCCATATTGATCTAAGCAGATTTGGAATTCCGGGATGGTCAAAGCAGTGTTGCTACCACATTCCCCAAATTTCACTACATGTCCTTTAACAAGTCTCCATTTTCTGGCTGCTCAGTTAACCACATCGATTAACCAAATCACAGCTGGCATAAACGGCTATACAAATGGTTAATGTTCTCCTATACCCCCTACATGCATGCATATAATCAATCTCTCCAGCTATTTAGTATCTGTAAAAATCAGAAAATTAAAGGATAAGGGTAATATGAAAATGCACTGATTATTCCTGCTTCAAGGTGAAGCAAAATGTTTCTACATAAAATGGCCTATCTTGCCTCTATGAAGCTCAATAACACCTAAGGAAGTAATTCTCAAATAGGCTCCTGTGTTTCATATTCCTCTTACCATAAGAAGGAAGCCTGGCTTTCAGCTAATGGAATGTCCACTTGCCTCATAACTTATTGATTTTTACTTTCACGGAGCCATAAATATTGACAACCACGTAAGCAAAACGCTGGTACCAGTCTGCCCCGTCCTCCCTCTGGCAGGCTGACACCGGGCCATTCTATATGCAAATAAGAGTCTCGTCCTCTGGAAATTATGAATGCTGATCCCAGTACTGTATTCTTGATGACACATCAGGGAATCCCAAGGGCACTGCTTGCAAAGCTTTGTCAGAACTTCACCTCATATAGAGAAAAACTCTTCATTTCAACACAATGAAAGATTATGTGAAGCTTTCCAAAGGGGGAAAAAGTACACAAAAACTTTTAAATGCTCTTGCCAAGAGAAATCCCCAGTGAATTAGGATATAATCCTTCCTCACTGTCTAATCAATCTCTTCCTTCCACCGTCCAAAACACAGGGTTTCTCCAGGGGTGGATGGTCTGTGTTAGACACACTGAAATTCATTATCTCATCTGCCTGGTGCCACTGTTTCCAATAAATTGTAATTATGGTGTTATTGAGCTCCTTCTCACTTTCTCAAAGCCATGCTATAAACTTTGGGTCTCTGAGCAGTTACTTCCCAGTCAGTCTTCATTAAATTGGATTGTCTCAGAACAATGTCTATTTAGCCAGCAGGGTACCCACTAATTTTCTTTTTTAGAATTGGTAGTAATGTAACAGACACCGGGTGACTCCGTGCCTGAGACACCACACAGACACAACTCAGCGTTTCCCCTGACTCCAGAAGGTCACGTAGCCAGTGAATGGGGTAACCTGAAGATCCTCCCTCTCTCACCCCAGCACTGCTCAGCTGGCGTGGCTATCTCCTCCGGTGCAAAGCGGGATGATCATATGTATTATAATAGGACGCTATTGTAAGTGGCAAATGCAGAGTGTTATTGCCTCTATCGCTCAATAAATCTAAACTCTGTCAGGCAGGGGCTTGTATAGTGTTTTCTTTTCATCTAGATAAGTGCCAGGCATATGGTGAAATGCTCAACAAATACTTCTTGAGTGATTAGAATGATCACTGAACACATCATTCCTTATACTTCTGGTCATGCCCAGTAGCTCTGCTGGTCAGAAATACAACATGCCCATAGATCCAAATAGCTGAAGAAGAGAGGAAAGAATTAGTATACTGAGCATCTACTATGTACATAGTTTTAGCACTAGCTAGGACACAGAGAGCCTTATAGGTCATAATAAAGGCTTATACATATTTTGATGAATAAAGCTGATTTTCAAAAAGAAAATCGTAAGAACAAACAAATACGATATAAAATAGGGAAAAAGGTATCTGTAATAAACCTAAGATAGCAAGATTACTTAGGGGATAAAAAAAATCAAATCTAATTAGGTGTTTTCAGGTTGCATTTCCATTTCCTTTCTGACACTAATTTCTTTAGCTAGGTCTTCACTGTATTTTATATCCCCACATCAATGAAATCATCTTCTGGGAAACAGTTTCCTTGGCTCCTCCTGGCTGGCTTTGCGGCGTTATAAGGAGCATGGAGTGGATTTCCTCTCTGAGGCAGCCAATTTCCTAAGCAATTAAATGCTGTTTATATTCCAAACTCTGTGCTTGAGTTGAAATTGTCGAGCTTGATATTACCTGACTCTTGCCTAAGATGTATCCCCAGCTAGTTCATTCTACTGTAACAGCCATCTATTAAAATTTCCAATCTGTTCTTTCCTCAAGGGATCACATAGTACTTGGCGAAGATACAGCCTCTGAATTCTGCAAATTATACTCATCTATATAAATATATATTTTGAAATGGCAAGGCTTGCAAATTACTTTACCAAATTGACATCCCAATCTGCTATCCTTTAAAAGGAGAAGCAAATGCCATGTACCTCATACGTGCATAGACACTTCTGTGCTGTTTTCTTAAAAATAACATCATGTAGAAACTAAACTTTGATGAAATTCCTCCATGAGGTCACATAATCAAGGTACTAGCTTTTGTCACTTCTAGGAGTGGACAAACTGAGTGCAGTTTAGTCTAGGTAGATCATAATCTGATACTACAGCATGCAATGGATACTGAAGTTATTTGTTCCAATGAACATTCCTGATTGAGAACATGGCCCTGTCTCATTTTGACCACTCCTTATGGTTTCTAGGCTGAATGGAAAAGTGAGATGACATCGGTATCTGCATTGTATATACTTTTTATTAAAGGGATAGCCATAACCTGTATATTTATGTCTATAAGACATGCTTCCTCAGAGCACCAAAAGACACAACAAGAGCATCAGCAAGAAGTAACTCCTTGGTTACAATGGGGCACTTCAGTGGCAATTGTAGCTTTTCAGGAATTCCCAGCCCTGGACAGGGAATGACGGTTGGAAGCACAGACCTTTTTTTTTTTTTTTCCCCAAGCACAGAATGTCAATTTCCTAGCTTCCTAAAATAGATGTTGGGCAGCTTTTCATACATTTCCTGTAATGAAAACATCCAATCCACTTTACACCCTGCCAACAATATACCAGCTATTCTCTAAAACAGAGGTCTCCAACCTTTTTGGCACAAGGGACCAGTTTCATGGAAGTCAATTTTTCCATGGAGGGTGAGATGGTGGTTTCGAGATGATTCAGGAGCATTACATTTATTGGGCAGCCAAACCTCTCTGCTAATGATGATCTATACTTGCAGACACTCCCCAGCACTACAGCACTAGCATCGTCATCTCAGCTCCACCTCAGGCAATAGATTCTCGTGAGGAGTGCACAACCTACATCCCTCGCAAGCACAGTTATAGTAGGGTCCGTGCTCCTATGAGAATCTGATGCTGCCGCTGATCTGACAAGAGGCGGAGCTCAGGCCGTGATGTGAATGATGGGTGGTGGCTATAAATATAGATGAAGCTTCACGCACTTGCCTGTTGCTCACCTCCTGCTTTGTGGTCTGGTTCCTAACAGGTCACACACTGGTACTGGTCCTTGGCCCCAGAGGTTGGGGACCACAGCTCTAAAACACTCAAAGGACCAGTCACATTCGTCCTCTCATCAGAAATCTATAATGGCTTCTCCATTGCTTATGAAATGAAACCCAAATCCAGCAACAGCCTTCAGGGCTCTGCCATCTGGCCTAGATGGCTCTTCCAGCTTTACCTTGCTCTATAAATGCAGCTCCTGTGCTGAGTTTCTCTCTGCTTCCGTAGGGCTCCAGCCTCTGACTAGACAGACTCTAAACCCCTTTGTCCCCTAGGGCAGAAAATCTTGTTTATCCTGCAAAGTTCAAATTTTGCCTCCTGTAAAGACTTTCTTGACACCTTCATCAATATTATTCACACGTGCCCCTGAGTTCCCAAAGCAGGTTGCACATTCTGTGGTTGACAATCATGCCAATGGCTTTGTATTACAGTTAATTATTTGCAGACACCTACATGTGGCCAGCAACTGTGACTTATGTTCTCTCATCAAATCCTGACAGCGCCCAGTGACCCGAGGAGGGTATGACCACCATTTCCCTGTAAAATGCCCAGATGTGGCTTGGCTCACACAACTGTACTCAATAATGGAACCGAATTCACACACACAAGGCATTCTAACTTCAAAATCTGGCCTCTTCCCAATCATCACTGTGGTTCCCTGGTTACTCAGCTTTTCTACGTCTATCTCCCACAGCACCAAACACCAGAGCGGGGCTCGGCACTCAGCAAACATTAGAGGAAATGAAATAAACTCTTCTATCGCTAATCATCCCGTAGGTGTTGGAAGTGTCCCTCCAACTGCATCTCTGAAGACAGGGATCCTATTCTTCGTTTCTCTCCTATCCTCCGTGGGCCCTAGCACCCTGTGTGAAACGCGTTAAGTCGGCTTTAAGAGTCTGGTATACACGCAAACTCTATACCTAGCTCTAGGGCCCCTAGGAACGGCCCCGCCCACAGGCGTGGACGCCAGCCTGGCTCATTAGATATCCATCCGAAGACAATAGCCTGCTCTCGAATTTAACTCACATTCATGGAGAACAGGCGAGAGCGCTGCCAAGGGGCAGGCCCCAGTCCCAAGCAGGATGATGAAGCCCAGGTGCCTGCAGCTCCCAGGTGACCTCAGCTCCCGTGAAATCAGCAGGTGAAGAGACAGGAGAAGCAGGGATTCTGCGTTTGGGAATCACTGCGTTTCTCTTTTGTCAGGCAATGGCTAACGCGGAAGGAGAAACAACGCCCCCTGGGTGGCCTCATACCTTTCAGCTTTTCGGCCAGCAGGGCGGCTTCGTGCTCCGAGTAGTGCATGATGGCCGGCGGGGACGGGGGCCGCAGCCGGTCCTCCTCCAGCTTGCGCCGGTGCCGCTCCTCGCGGGCGCGCATCCTCTGCTTGCATTCCCACTCGTAGAAGTCGTCCCTGGCCTGGGCAAAGTCCACGTGAAGGCGGCCCGAATCCTTTTTGTCCGTGCTGGACCCTAATCGCATCCTGTAACCTGAAACCAATGGAAAGTCTGGTCACATCGCAGCGGCCATACATTAAGGCAAACACTAACGTATTTCTTTGCCCTCCCTAGGGACACCTTTCTCAGAGGAGGTGGGAAGCAGTTATCCTTCTCCCCAGCAATCCTGAAGCTCTGCAAAGTTAAGCCTATTACAGATTTGGGGTGAAACACACTTCTGTGAAGTGTCTCAGACAGTCGCTTACCCATTTTCCAAACCATTGTCCCCAACAGAGCATGAGCTCGAGAACTGGGGACTTGTCATGATAACTCCTTCTTCCCTCTGGCTCCCAGGAAGCTCAGACACAGACAGACTCGGCATGTATCATTTTTTCCCCTACCTTTTTATGGCCTTGACTTTATATTTTCAATTTACTTAACTCTATTGCATAGGTGGAGTATGAGTAAATAAAGAGCATCTATGATATTTATAAAGATCTACAAAGTAAATTCCAGAACACCTCACTCACAGGCTATTGCTCAATTCCCCCACAAAATGCTGCTGCTTAATTCTCTCTCCGAAGCTGCAAAAGCCACAATTATCAAGGCAATTTTGCAATGTTGCTTTATTTCCACTTATCCTCTGGGGCATGCAGGAGAATATTTTACCTCCAATCAGGAGGCCTCACCACTGCCTTCCTCATAGCCCTGCAGAACCTCATCTGGCATGCAGTACCACACAAATTGTTCACGAAATCTTTGAAGGCGACAGGAGCCCTGTGCAAGAGCCCAGAGCTACACACACACACACACAAAATGGGCGTGGAAATCTTTGGGGGATTTACTGTGAGCTACCCAACTTATAAAGATTATGAGCAGAAACGTGATCTGAGAAATCAACACAAACAGAACTGCAACTTGCTCTTGCCAGCCTAACTTCAAATAAAGAAGAGTTGACTTTGAGGTTGCACTTCAGTTTGGGGTACTCAGATTTTCAGAACATAAATTCAGGTCCCAGCAGGCACATGGCTGCTGGGGGCTGCCAGAGGAGACAGCAAAATAAGCACTTTTGCAGTGCAGGGGCTTTGCAAATGAGATGCAGCTGGCGATGCTAGGCTGCACCGTGCTGATGTTCAAGATCTCATGGCAGATTTCAATGGATTGTTTTTGCATTGGGGGGTTAAAATTCAGCTGAATATCTCTGAAGAAGCTGGCTTCTCCCCAGGAGGCCACTTCACACCTTTGTAAAGTTACAAATAAGATAGAGATCTCACATCTGATTCCTGTGATGCCACTGAACCCTTCTCACTCCTAGATTTTCAACAGCGTTATCTAAAAATGGGAAGACATAACAATACCGATCAAAACCAAAAACATCCGATCACAGATGTGCCGATTAACGCTAAAGCAAAATGTATCTTGGTTGTGGGCCATGGAAACTTAGCAAGTCAGCAGGCCACGGGGATAACATACATAACAGCTGAGCAGGCAGGACTGCCTAAGACTGGCCAGCTGTCCTGACTGGCCAAGCAACTTTCCTCTGTTCATGTCCAGAGAATAACTTTTTAAACATTTCTGGCTCCAGAAACACCCTCACTTTCACTGAAACATCACCATTAAAAGAGACCCTGATGAGGCTGAGTCTAAATTTAGCTCGACCTTCAAATGTGAATGCGGTTCTAAAATTAGACAGGCCCTCCAGCTGGGCTTGGGCTTGCTGAAGCCTGCACACAGAGGGGCAGCTCTACTTCCTTCCTGCCCTTCCAACTAATCAGCCTTTCACATCTTCCCAGGACAGATCCAACAGCCTCCCCGGGGTGATGAGACCCTGGGAGGCTCCTGCACCTAGGCAGGGAGGCTGGAGGTGAGGCCCTGCTGTCTTCTCCTGCCCCAAAGGGGCAGACAAAGGAGCAACCAGGGGTTTGCTGAGAGAAGCAGGACCAACACCCAGACTGGAAAAAGCATAAAATCGAGGCATAAAAAATCCAGGAACACCTTTTGTATGCCTAAATTTGGGACTGTTCATCTGAATTGTTCTTAACATTGTATTGCACTGGTGTGGAAAAAGACTTTTGATCTACTCTAACTCTCTTGTTTAATCAGGTGAGGTAAAGTAACACAGTTGACCCTTGAACAACATGGGTTTCAACTGCATGGATCTACTTATTAGGCAGATTTTTTTTTTCAACTGAACGTAGATGGAACATAGAGTATTCAAGGGACGTGAAACCTGCACATAGGAAGGGGCAACTTTTTCTTTGGTTCTACAGGGTGACTGAGGGACTTCAGTATGTGTGGGTTTTGGAGTACACAGGGGTCCTGGAACCAACCCCTGAATATACCATGGGATGACTGTAGTCTTACTAGTACAGCTATAAATAGAACCCAGGTTCCCAGGGCAGAGTTCCTAAGAAAGAATCAGTCCTTCTTTATCATCATCAGGATATGCATTAAAAACAACAATTTACTGAATGATTTCTATGTTGCAGGTGCCCTGCTAAAGCACTCACTACCCATTATTTGATTTATTTCTCCTCACAGCCCTAGGAGGTTGAACTGTTACTATCTCTGTTTTGCAGATGAGAAAACAGAGGCTCAGAGAGAGATTATCTAGGCCAAGGCATGTGAAACCCAGTGCCAGGTACAGAGCAGAATCCCCACTTGTCTGATAGCTGTTCGTATGTTGTAACATGTCTTTATTCTAAGCTTTGTCTTCTAAATCCATTTTGAAACGTTTTTAGATGTTTTTTTTCACTCTGTAAGGTTTCATTGGAACAGGTTGTGAAGGGCTCCATATCAGTATCTAGCTCAGGAAGTCTCTGCAGTATTGGAATGACTTCAAGTCTTCTGGGGTTTGTGCAGAATTTCATGGCAATAGAGGTTGACTACAGAAAATAAGTAAAACCTGGCAGTAATATTAAGCTGTTTGGTTTTTTTTTCCTGTTGTTTTCCCACCTCCCGGCATTAGCTTTGCCTCAGGAATAGGGAGGTGAAATACAGAATGACAGACTGAAAGATGTACGAGGAGAGTGTGAGGGAATGGCAATGAGTTGAATCTAAAAATAGGTTCTTGTACAGCCACCCCATGGTTCTTAGATTTGGCAAAGTCCATGTGGACAGACTCCATTCACTTGGTCCAACACCTGCAGAGTGTAAGGCAGCATTAGACCTAACTGAAATATCTGTAAAACTCGCCTATGAAAATTGGCACCAAAGAACAAGGCTTAAAGAACCAGTCGGGCATTATGACGTTGAGCCTTAGCCTAGAGTCCATGAACTACTTTTCTGCGAGGAACTGGTCCTGCTTTGGTACCCTGGTGTCTAGAAAGTGAATCCACTTCTGAAAAACTGAAAGTACTCTGAGAGAGTACTTTACTCCCCCAGAGGATTACATCCAATAATAATAATGGTCCTTAGTGCTCATAATATTGCTTTTCATCTAATAAGCACTTGAGAACATTAATTAGAAACTTGATGGAATTCCTAAAGACTGGATGGTGGGAAATTGCTCCTGTAGCAAAGTACATTCACCGACTTAACAGAGAGCTTCTGGCAGCCAAGGAGAAAGGCAGAATCCCTCCTTTTCCAGCCCCAAACCAGGAGGACCTTATTGTACAGTAAGGAAAGGGGAATAAGTTAACATTAACATTACAAAACGCCTAAAAAAACTCCTGATGTAGTGTAAAGTACCAGAAAGGTAAATGGCTTTATCAACCATGAATTCCTCAGCAAAGCGAATGTGACAGAAATTCTTCTTGCTTTTCCGAATCGCTGTGATATCACCACACTGCTCAAAGACTTCTTGAATAATTTCCTCAGTAGCATTTTCTGGTAATCCTCCAACAAACACAGTCTTGCACCCAGGAGGTCGTTCTCTTGTGGAAGGAGGTGGAAGATCTGATAATCACAACAAAACAGAGTTTTGTCTTTTATTTATTTGCTCTCTTTTTCTAGTTCTCCCAGAGTCACTTTCTCCAGACTGAGTAACGCTAAATTTCTATACCAACTTACATTTATCCCCGGCTGTCTTCTTTCTAAGTTCCCCTCCCCTCCCTCTCCCAACCTTTACTTTCCGTGTTCGTTTCTACACGGAGTGGCTATGCTTGTCCGCGAACAAAGATAAAGCACATGTTAGCATAATTTCATTTCTCCTTTATAATACAGAAGCCGTGAAAATGGAAGGGGGAAAAAAACTTCCCAAAGTACAAAACATGATGAAATGACAACATGATGAAAAACCTCGGCTTGTTATCTGCTTTGTCTTCTTGCCAGATAAAGAAGTAACAAAGCAGAACATAGGAAGCACAACCTAAAAAAGCACGCACAATACTTACTTGGCTGCAAAACACTGTGCCTGAAGAAAACGCTTTGTTATTATTCACATTTAAATGAGCAAACTATTAAATTTTGGGGAGGATGTATAAAAAGATAAAATGTACATTGTCACAACATTTTACCTAGTTTATATGTAGATTACTAAAGCAATCTCCTACAAAGTCCATTTTAAAAAGGCAACACTGATTAATAGGAATAAAAAAAAAATCAGAGCTATTGAAGACCATAAATGTAGTATCTGAGGCTAAATTAAAAAAAAAAAAATTCTGGCCCATTTACTTCCTCAAATGTATGCTTCCTTCAAGCAAATTCAATTTTGGTCCAGAAACTCTGAAATGCAAAGTTTCCCCCTATCCCCCAAATTGCTAACTGCCAAATTAATTCAATTTTTCATCTAGCAAAAACACATTTCAGAATTTTTCTCCCACATTCGTGAAGATGGATGGAAGTGCTCACATATTTCACACTATGTTCTCCAGCAAATGCTAGACGTCATTGCATGCAAAAAGATTCCTAACACTGGATATATATATATCCAACCCCCACGTACTGGCTCTTCACAGTGTCCATTTAGCTTCTGGACGGACACATGGTCACATCCCCGTTTGTTTTAATCTAGAGACAAAGGCCTTGTGTAGAACAGACCCCACTCCGTGCATCTATAGGTGAGTCACATCTGGAAACGAATGCAATGATACTTAAAGTTTAAAAGAAAAGAATTTAAAATGATGAACAAATATTTCTCACGGGTGTTACTTACTTGGATTTTGAGGAAAAAGAGTACAACTTTTGCAGTGGATTATTTCTTTGACGACAGCCACTTCTGTTGGCGGTGGGGGAGGTACGAGCCCTAGGCCTGGTATCATTGGGTTAATAGGGGTGATTCCAGTCATCATGTTGAGGCTTGGATCAAAGCCTGGGACACAGATTGAGTCTGTAAAATACATAAGATAACATTTTGACTGCAGAATCTTAAATCTATTTTTGTTTTTGTTGCCATTTTCCTGCAAAGAGTATTTGACTTTGTGCTTTGTATTTTTTCATGAATTTCTCCTGGGATAAGAAGTAGCATTTTATAAAGCTACTCCAGAAGGGTAAAGAGACAACACAGAAAAAGATGAACCTAAAACTATGTGAAAAGGAAATTATATTACTTAAAATATTAACATGGCAGAACAGAACACGGCATGTTAAAGTGTAAAATCATGCAACATGAAGCTTCACTATTACCACGAATGCAATTTTCTTTTTCTTAACATTAGTGTACTGTTTACATTGCCTTATGACCCAGAATGTGGGAAGAATATCATTTAACACTGAAGTACCCTATGAATCTAATTGTCAACCTGGTTTTATCAAAAAAGCCTTTTTACCCCAGTGACCTAGATTTAGGAAAGTTCAATTTATTTGTGCATATTTTATAATGATGCATTCAGGTCCCACCTAACCTATTTCCCTCAGGAAGAAAAAAAAAAAACCAGAGTGATTATAATTACCACAGCTGGGTTAGATACAAGCAAGCATAAAATTAGCTATAGACATTTCTAGATTCTATTGGACAATCACAACTTCTTCCTATAATTCAATCAACAGAAATTAATCCATTCTTCTGAAATCTTTCTGCCCTATATTTAAAAAAAACAAAACACAAAAACTTGAAAATAGAAAGGGGACAAAAAGGATGGGATTTCCAGTATAACTACTGAATTTTTTTTTAGTGTGATAATGAAGTGAGTAATTTCAAAGGTGATATGCTGGGATTTTTTTTTTTTTTTAATTAAGAACTTTCTAAGAGCAGGGGCTGTTAAAATACTGCACTGAGTTCCTATGAGTAGCTGCAAGGGGATCTCTTTCATGAGGGTTGTTCTGTTTGCAGAGAACAGATACTCCCACTGGTAGTGTGATAATATTCCCAGGTAGACAGCAGGACAGATGCCACCAGAAGAGGTCATGGTGATGCTCCAACTACTCTGCAAGGATGAAACTTCCTTCTTCTTCTTCTCTTACTCTACTGTTTCTCCCTCCACATCTTAGATCATGCCCATTCTTCTTTCCTTGTTTTTGGTTCTCCTGTGCAGCCTGTGCCTTAGGCCCCTGCATGGCTTCACTCTTTGCTTGTCTGTGCTGAAAGGCTGGATAAGCCCAGAGCAGATGAAATGACAGCCACACCCTCTGTTTACTAAGAAACTCCAGAGGATACAGAAGGCCTGAACTTTTCCTTTCTGGGAGAAGCATTGATAGCATTCCTCCAGCTACCTTGGACATTCCCACTCACGTCTGGGTTGAACAGAATAGTGTGACTCTGATCTGTAACCCCAACAGGTCTGCTGTCCCATTTATTAGAAACTCCGGTTTGATCTGATAATGTGCCAATGTGACTTCAGTAAAAGGAGGGGCATTTGGGGGTTTATTATTTTTTTTTAAAAAAAGAACCCTAAATATAAATGCTAAATAAGCATTTTCTTTCCAAGTAGTCACCTTGATGTTCTAGGCACTTCCTCTATAATTATGGTTCTCAGTTTCTTCATTTGGAATATAGGACTGTTTGACTAGATTATCTCCTGGAGCACTAGCATTCCAAGACTCCAGGATTCCACACTGACTCCAGGATTCCAGGACAAGACTCAAACCTTGTGTCTTCATTAAAAGCTCATAAAGTTTCACAGGTATTATTCCCATTTTACAGATAAAGAAATTGAGGCGTAAAGCAGTTAAGTAAAATTTCTAACATCAGAAAGCAAACAAATGATAGAGTTAGAATTAGGCCCCAGGTCTCAGCCTCCATATTTAAACATGTGCAAATAGGACTATTTCAAAGTTTCCACTTAGAATGGCCCAACCTGATTGTTCACCTGATATGTACCACTACTTCCAAAAATTTACTTTACCCTTAAAAAAAAAAAATCAAGATTTGTCCTGCTGATCCAGATGCCAATTCTAAAGAAGTTCCAGACCAGGATGGTGTTTGACATCATCATCATTAAAATAACATACTGGCCTCCAAGGTGAATATATTAGAAATAGAAATATAGGCAATGGGAATATTGGCATGTTTGCGCTTTTATTTAATCTCATTCCATGCATAGACTTCATCTGTTTCTTTCCTGGCCTGGCCTTCACTGTTATTTGCCAACACAGGATGATTTAAGGCTGAAACCACTCAGGACTGCAAGGCCTGAAATGAAAGCTTTGTGATTACAATAAGCAGATGTTTCCCACAAATGAGATGAGAAGCTTGGTGCTTGCATTCTCTTTTAGTTGTAACAGACTTCTGTTTTCTTTCTGAAGGCTAAATAAATATACCTTCAGAAATGGGGACAAAAGACACCACTCTTGAGCAAAATATTTTAAGATATGGCAAGAGTTACTTTGCTTTTTCTGTGATATCAATATGAAAAGACTATGAGGTTTAATGAAATCTGCATGGTGAGTGCGCTAGCTTGAAAAGGGCTTAGAAAATGGAATTAACACTTAAATTATGCTGGAGTCCAAAGGATCTGAGATTCAGTATTTGAGAGGAGAAAGTAGGGAAGGATTAGACTAAAAAAAATAAGAACCCATTACTTTTTAACAATATATGTACATATGGAAATTGTTTTCTCAAATAGCACAGGAGCATATTATATACTTGCTCATTAAAGCAAGTGCACAAACTGAAAATCCGAGAAAGACACATACATAGTGAGGCAAAGGTGAGAAGAGAGCGCAAACTCTAAGGGGTCAGTTCTGTGTCTTGTTTGGAAAAGCTACTCCTGTGAACTTCAGAGATAATGAGTTGTAATTCTACGTAGGGAAAGGAGGAGGACTGCTTAAATCACAGCAAGAAAGAATCCAATTAAGCATACAGTAGAATTTTATTTTAGAAACTGTACTTAAAGGAGAGGAAGGGTTATTCATCTCAGACTGTGGCTGAGTCTGGTTCCTCTCTGTACTGCTGGCTCCAAACAGAAAGGGGCCAGAGCCAAAGCTCAGCAAAGGTTTCTTTTTGGTTGTCTGTTTCGTATTGGACAAGACAAAAACAAAAATCCTGTTTACTGAATCACAGTCTAGTGTTTCATCAATCTGACGAGCAGTTTTGTGTTTAGGATTTTAGAGGCATGGCAGCTGAATTAATTGATTAGCTAAATCATACATTCAGCATTTCCTGGGCACACACTTTTGCCAGGATCTGGAGTTAGAGAGGTAACTGTAAGTCCTCACTTGGATTTGAGAGGCGAGTAAAGGAGGGGTAGGGAACTCGGCAGAAGAGTCAAATAGGTGAGCTGAAGCTCAGGGGACACAAAGGAAGGGAACTGCCCACTGAGAGTGAGCCTGGCAGGCCTGGGAATTCTAAATAATTTTCCATGGCTGTCTCTTGGGTGTGCAGGTGACAGTGTGGTCGTGATATATGGAGAGGCTGTAGGAGTTACATCAGAAGGGATCCTGCTGTTCAAGCTAGTGAATTTGGACTGGATTCTCACTGGAATGTCAGCCCCTCATGGTCAGAGGGGTACCTGCCAGGCACAGCCCCATGCCCTGCCCTCTCTTCCCCCTCGTCTTTGCCTGCTGCCCCCTAGCCATGTCTTGCTCCTTTCCTGCCTTTTCCAGTCCAGCCTCAGTAAAGAGTCTCATATTTGAAGTGAAAACCAGATCCCATTTGAAAGAAAAGAACAGGGGCCTCTTGCCAGGCAAGGCAGGACATAATAACCAGGTTAGATGCAGGCAAGGAAGCTGGGCTGGGGATGTGGCTGAGGGGACACAGAGAGGATGTCAGGGCCAGCAACACATCTGGCCCAGAAAGAAGAACATAGTGTTCCAAGAGAATAATATGAGAAAAGAGGGGTAATCAGGCTAAATAGTCTAGTTCTGGGCCAGTGGTGTCCTGAAAGAGTGGCTGAACAGAGAGAGCATTAGCAGCAGACAAAATCCAGGTCCAGGCAGGACGGCTGCACCAGGGGACTTGGTCTGCAGTTCACAGGGTCTGCACCACCCTGGTCCAGGGTTCAGACTCGGTCCAGGGGAACTGGAGTTTGCAACAACATCATGAAGTCACAGGTTGAGAAACACTAGGCTATCCGGCAGGTTAACTAAGCTGGGACTCATACCAAAGAAGCAAGACAGGATCCAGGCACCAGAATGGAAGCCTGGGGTATGGGGAAGGAGGCAGGTACCCCAGTTATCAGACATGGAGCCCCGGTCAGAGCCAGGCCAGCATAAAGCCTGCTTGAATGCTGAGTCCCAGAACACAGGCCTCTGGAGCCCACTTCCTCCTGCCTGAGGCCAGAGCGGCCCTCAAGTGTGGGGCAGAGAGGCAGGCTGCAGGGGGTCTGACAAATGTGGAATTGCACTGCTTCTTTTTCCAGAAGAATTACTGATTTAAAATATGACCTATCCTCACTCTATAGAGAAGCCTTGTAATACATGAAGACATTCTGTTTACCAGAAGTTGAGGATGGAGAAACTTGTTCAGAATAGTCTCTAATTGCAATTGACAAGCCTTGGTTTTCTATAAAGTCAAATATCCCTCAGGCCAGATCCTGGGTCTCCTACGCACTGGGTGTGTGACCTTGGGAAATTTAATCTCTTTATGCCTCACTTATAATATCTGTAAAATAAAGAAAATAATATTTACTTTTTAATATTCTTATGAGGATTAAATGAGATAAAGAAAACCAAAACCAAAGTGTTTAGCATAATGTCCAGTAAATATTTGGTAAATAATAAATGGTAGCAATTATGTACAACATTGATAAATATTCTTATTCAAATTGTATAATATTTATGTAACCCCACATAAATATAACATTATTAACTTTAATATACATAAAGGAGCATAATGATGATAACAAAGTATTTCATTTGGCAAATATGTGAGTGTCCATTAAGTGTTGGATGTTTTGCTAGGTCCTTTGCATGTAAACATCTTGTAAGATATGAGCCCTTCCTTCATGAATGTGACAATCCAGTGACAGAGACAATCTAGTAGGAAATGAAAATACAATATGACACCAGCTATGAGACATTTAAATAAGAGATGCTACAGAAAAGAGAGACATTTAAACCAGTCTGGGATAGGGGGGTAACGGGTTGATGAATGTCCCCCCAAAAGATATGTCCTAATCCCCCATACCCATGAATGTGACCTTATTTGGAAATAGGGCATATGCAGATGTAATCAAGCTAAGCTGACATCATACTGCATTAGGGTGGGCCCTATCTAACATGATCGGAGTCCTCATAAGAAGAGGAGAAAAGACGCAGACAGACACCCGGGGGACAGGGGACAGACACAGGGGAGAATGCCCTGTGATGACTGGAAACAGGCAGCAACAATCACCAAAGGATCAGTTGCTGGCAAATGCCAGAAGTTGAGAGAAAAGTATCAAACAGATTCTTCCCTAGATCCTTTAGGGAGAATGTGGCCTTGCTGACACCTTAATTTCAGATTTCTGGCTGCCAGAACTGTAGGAGAATAAATTTATGTTGTTTAAACCATCCAGTTTGTGGTACTTAGTTACAGTGTCCCTAGGAAATGAATACAGTGGGGTAGTGTCAGGGAAGGAATCCCGGAGGAGGTGACAGATGACCTGGTTCTTAAAAAGGATGACTTCTGTATATGCAATGGGCATGCAAAAAAGTATCCCCAAAATATACTTATTGGTATCACAAACACAAAGATATTTCTAAATGATCTCTTAGAAGAAATGTTCAAAACCAGTTCCTTGGAGGCAGAATTGCTCTTAGGGTTTCTTTGTGAAAAATCAAACTCTGAAGATGGCTTCATATTTGTTAAGAACAAATCAGCCACACAGATGTTAACATAATAGTGTATTTTTAATAAAATAAGTGAATGCCTACAAGCAAGATCTTTAAGAAAGTGAAGTTGAAGGTGCTTTTGTGATTTTTCTAAAGAGATCCAAAGGCAGAGAGGTATGTTTCCCATTTAAACACAAGATGTATACCCACAGTGTGCCCCTGCTGTGCACACTTTATAAACAAAGACCTCATTCCATCAATAAAACCCTCTGTCTGCTCTGACTGAGGAAGCAGCGCTGGCAGAAAGGAGGAATGCAGCCGTCAACAGCTATTTTAAGTACTGTTGACTTGGGTGAGATTTGTGTCCATGTTTGAAAATATAATACAATGTGAAGTGAGGAGAATTTCAAAACTTCTGACCAAAACGGGCATAGAGAAAAACTGACTGCTCAAAGAAGCCTGTCAGATCTTTCCAGCAACCTGATCACCCAGAGTACACACTCGAAAACCAAGTATGTTTTGAGAGAGCAGGAAGTAGTAAGAGCTTATCAAAGGTTCCGTAAAACTCATACTGGCAGGTGGGTGATTTGAACTTGATGCCAGTGCAGTTTCTGCACAGAGGCCTGGGCTGTCACACTCCCAGCAAGTCGCTCTATGTTTCTGGGACCCCCTGAAACACACTCTTAAGACACGACGGGCCTCGCAACTGAGGCACGAAAACCATGCTGGCATATGGCAATCAGGCAGGCCGGGAGGGGCTCACTTTGACAAGGACATAACCAAAAACTATGAAATTTCAAAGCTGAGAGAGATCTGAGCATTACCTAGTTTTACTCTCTTGATTTTAAAATGAGAAAATATTTTCCCAGTGAGGTTTAGTGACTTGCCCAAAGTTACACAGTGAGTTAAGAGTGGAGCTGGGACTGGAATCGAGTCCTGCTGCTGCTTCATCTTCATCATGCATCTGAATTCTCCTGCCGCTCTCCAGCCTGCCTTCCTTTGGACGTCTCAGGTGACGGTGCATTCACTGCCTCCCCACACAGCCTGTCCCATTTTCTAATGGTTTTCACAGGGAGAAATTTATCCCTCATAGCCTGACTCAGGACCTGCAAAGCTCTATTTAAATCCATTGTCCTTACTCTGCACTCCTGAGCTCCTACAACAGGTCTAATTTTCTTTCCCACCATGACTGGTCAAATCCACAAAGGAAACCCTGAGAAAGGGTGAGTCTCCTCCCACCCAGTCTCAGCACCCCCTTCTCTCAGTCCTTCCATGTGGGCCTGCCCTTCTCTAAAAACCCACCTCTACTGAGGTCCAGTATTATCCAGAGAAAGAGGCTAGGAAGCAGCTGACCAACCAGTTAGCAGTGGTATCTGCCTTTCTTAGTTCCAAACTCTCTTTTTTTTCACTAACTTGGTACATTTGAAAGCAATGGTCATGTTTCATGCTTGCTTTGTGCCAGGCCTGCACTTAAACTGTCGCATCATCTCATCATGTGATTTGCAGAGTTGACAAACGCTGGATGACCTCATTCAACTCAAACGCACATGTCTTTCCTCTGAAGGATGATGTCCTTACGCAACTTTGCAGTTGACATTTTGAAACTAAATGAAGGATTTTGCATTTTCCAAAATCTGTCTTCTTAGGTTCTCCTCTTGTCTTGAATTTTCCCTCTCTTGACCTCAGTATCTATAAAATGGCTTGACAGCTCTTTCTTAAAGTTCTTTCCCCTCCTAATTCACCAGAACATCTCTCCCTGCAGGTCAGACTCAGCCACAGAGGGGGAGAACATCTTCCCATTACCAGTCTGGGATGTAAACTATTGGCTGCTTTTCTTGCAGATGTCTTGCAGATGACAAACCATTAGCTGTCTAGTGCTTGGAGTTGGTACAGAGAGCATGTCCTCATCCACTTCCTCCCTCTGGCTAGGTGGTTAGGACTTTGGTCTCACCAAGGTATTGTTTCTGTTTTTTCCCCTCCTTACTTTTACCCCAGATGTTCTCCAGGTTCTATAAATTCCTTGTGAATTCTAGCATGCATTTGTGGAAATATCTCCTTAGGCAAATACACTTAGACTCTTTCCCCGAACATTTATTTCTTATGAACCTTTTGTTGTTGATTTCCAGTTCTAAGAGCCCCTGCCAAGTCTCAGGGATCCCCATGGGATTACCCTGTGTTAGAAGCCCCTGTGTACTAAGTTATTCCTCCTGCGCTATGGCCTACAGGTGCCCTCTCACTTGTTTCTACGCCTTGTCTGAATGGACTCCATAGCAAACTGCCTATGGGATCCTGGGCACCTGTTCTACTCCATTCCCATTAAACACTTTCAGACCGTTTAAGTAACTTTAGGGCTTAGCAGTTTCTTTTAATGGTACCACCCCTTCCTTGCAGTTCCTGGTTTAGAACCTCTGTAGGTAACCACACCCAATCACCTGCCAAACCCTCTCAGATAGACCTACCTTGGAAAGGACTCTATGTCATCTTTGCTTTCCCCCATTGCTAATTAAGGTTCTCATTACTTCTTATCTAGAGTCCTGTGAAAGCCTCTTTTTGTCCTCCAAAACTGCAGCTTCCACATCTTCCTCCCCCTCTCTTGCCTTTGCTGCTCCCCAGCCACTCTCGCACCCCTGGGCCTGGGATCGGTGGGTGATGCACACGGGAGAACCACGAAAGCAGGTCCTAATTGGAGCCTCTAAATTACATCTTTCAAACTTCTTTTCACATTCCTATCTCATTAGCGGATGATTAATTTTCTCTCTATGATGTTATGTGACTTTGGATAGCAGGACTGTTATATAATGATGGGAAAAAGAAAAAAAAAAGCACTGAATAATCTCTTGGTATTCTCTGCTTTGTCCCAAGTGATAAGCTCATGGTGCAGGAGCAGACAGTAGAGGCAAAAAGCTATTGAATCTTGAAAAATATGTTTGAATATTCAAACACCTAAGAAGTGCTTTTTATAAAGAAGTAATTTCTATGAATCTATCCACTTATCTATTTTTCCAAGGAGTGGGGACACTCTACATGTATGTTGAAAGGCTAAATAATTTATATCAACACATTTCTTTTTGGCATTCAACGCCTTCCTGCTCTATGGGACTGTTCCCTTTATTTGAAGTCAGGGTAATAGGTAATACTGACTCAAAGCCCACTGTAGTCAGCGGTCATAACAGTGGAAATGGTCGTTCACAGCATGTAAATATCTTCATAGGGATCTTCCCATTAAAACCTGCATCTTTCCGAGGCAATCTGCAAGGGCTAACCTTTGGTTTTATTTATCAACTTTAGTTTCAGTTTACAAAGGCATCTGAGAGATAGGTAACATCTCATAAATTTAAAAAAGAACAAAGGAAAACTTATTCAATATATGGCTTTAAAGAAAACATTCATATCACATTATTTTAAACAATTTATGTAGGTTTCAATTTAAACTTACTGTTTGAATGGATTGAAACAACACAGAATTGGTCTCTTTAAATAAAATCAGCATAGAGCTGTAGACTTGGAGAGAAAATAGAGCCTGTTTTAAAAGTAAACACATCATGAGAACTCCTAAAGGAAATTGCAAATCGTGTGTGGTTTTTAAATCATACACTAATCTAATATTAATTTAGTTTTTCTACCAGTCTGTTTGAGCAAAGAAAATTCGGGGACTTAATTATCACCTTATCTCAGGGTTCAACATAGTCCTTGGCACATAAATATCAGTTAAATGAATGAAAGAAATTACAAAATTTACAGCATTTACAGAGTTCATCCTAAAGGGATAAGACAAAGCAATATTTGGTTGTCCAATCCACAATGTCACAGTATAAGTTCATATACAATTCTAAGCAAATGATACCTGGCATTCTTTATACTTCCTTTATTAACCAAACAATAAGAGACGTGAAGATATTTGTTAGTTATTCCTCTTAATGTCACTAGAAAATGATGATGATTGTCACCTGCATTTTATAGATAATGAGGCGGAGAGGCACAAGGAGTGAGGATGTGCTCAAGACCACAGAATAAATGGATGGGACTGGTCTTTGAGTGCTTGTGAAAATGGTAAGGCAGACCTCATACTTGCCCTCCTGGCAGCTCATGGCTGCAAGAACACAGACCTGGTCTTAAAGGAATGAGGTAGCGGAGCAGGAAGGTAAGTACAGTATCATTTAAATTTACACAAGCTCATATCTTTCAGCTTATGCATGCTTGGAAAATTCAGCACAGAAATGAGAAAAGGACAGGGCAACTTAATTCCACACCACAGGGGAATACTACCATCTTACAGCAGAGTAAGTAAAAGGGAACATAATCAAAACAAGTTTATAAAAGAAGTAAAAATAAAATCGTCATTTATCTACAATGCAAATTTTAAATAAGAAATATAAACCATGTGCAAAAACAATAATCTTCAATTCCATACTATGGGTGAATTAGGGGAAAAATAAAGATAGAGAAAATAAAGAAACTATAGGTTCGGGATAGAAATTTGGAAGTAGGAGGAAGAAGCTGAGTTGAAGATAGAAAGAAAAGACAGAAATCAGAGGGACAGGCAGCAACAGACGGGCAGTCTGAATCCCAGGTACAAGACTTCCTCTCCTGCCCAACTGACTAGGCTTGTGGTTCTTAATCTGCACAAAAGCGGACAAAAAAGAGTATTTATCCCTGATAGGGCTGTTCTTAGGATTATGAGTTAAAATATGTAGAGGGCTTCAAAGAGTTCCTGGTACAGAGTAAGTACTCAATACCTAGTAGCTATCACTTTGATGAATATTATATATATTTTTGTGTGTATTCGAGTATACGTACGTGTATATTATATTGTGTATGTGCTACAATGCTGTTCTAGTATCCTTCCTTTTAAAAAAAGCATATCTCACTTCTCTGTTGCTTTTTAAGTTCATGTTTTATTATCTGTCCTAATTTCAAGAAGTAATTCTTTGGGTAGAAATCAGGAGGTCCTCTAGGTCAGGGGCCCTCAAACTTTTTAAACAGGGGGGCAGTTCGCTGTCCCTCAGACCATTGGAGAGTGCACACTGTGGGCCTGGGACAAGTCAGCTGCTAAGCAGGACAGGCAGCGGTGGCAAAAACACCAGGCAGGCAGGATAAATGTCCTAGGCAGGCGGCATGTGGCCCTCAGAGCTGTAATCTGAGGACGCCTGCTCTAGTAAACAACTGAAGAGGTAGTACCATATAGTTTCTCTACAGGAGAAATTTGTCCAGGGGAAATTAGAAAACACTCTTCTCTCCCCTCTTTTTCAGGACCCAAGATGTTCTTCTGTGCCTGGAAATGAGAGTTGCAGCGTTCAGAGCTATTTCCCGTTTGCTTTTTCTGCCAGGAAGATTAGGTGTTGTACCTAAACACACCAACTGCGCTCATTTGAAATCCTATTTTATTCATCTAAATGAATGTCTATTTTAAGATTCTTTACACACAAGAACACATGTGTCTTTTTAATAAATTAAAACTGAGCAGAATCAGACTGTTGAAAATACTTTGTTACATCTGAGGGCCTGGCTCGATTTCATTACTTACATGTCGATGTGCATTTTGGTCTAGAAAGCACCCATGCCAAACCATACTTCCCCACAGCCTGTCATTGCTGGCGACACCCTGAGTAATCCCAGAGGCTAATTTTTCAGAGAAGCAAATTAAGGGGGAATAACTTTACTAACAAACTGTCATCTAAAACTAATTTAGCCTTTCGGGCTGAGTGCAGTGTACTTTGAGCATTCCTTAATGACTTGTTTGGAACGTGCTTTCTTCCACAACATCAACCCCTCAACGGCAGAAACTCAGGGAAGTAATTTCTCACATGAAAAACATACCCCAAACTTTCTCTTTTTTTTTCTCCTGGAGAGTTCCAAGTTAAAAGCAGAGACTATAACCGAGATTTTCATTTTAAATTAATTATTTTCTACCAGGCTGTAAGTTTAAAGAATGCTTTTGTTCTTCATTCAGAGGGGTCTACATCTCATTCTCATTCCCAGAAGCACCTAGTTTTGAATTGTTACTAAGCCTTTATGCAATGCTGTATTTTCAAAATCCTTTTTCAGTTATTTAATAAGCTGGTCCTCATGACATCTCCCTAATACGTTTTCTCCTCCACAGGTGAATAAGAAAGTTGAAGTTTGGAGGACCAAAGACATTGGCCCACAGATTCACTGCAGTCACGGGAGAGCAGAGGGAGCCGCGCTGTCCTGAGCGTGTTGAGACTGTACTTGCCTGCAGTCTCCAGGGAGGCACAGGGCAGAGGGGAAGAAGCAGGAGCATCACTTTTTGGGCTTTAGTTCCTTGTCTGCCCCAGGTTCCTCATCTCAGATGTAAGGCTGAAACCTGCCCTACTTACTTCACACTGTGATTATTAGTACCAAATTATATGATGGACATTTACGTGCCAGCAGTTTACAAGCAAGGAATCAATACACAAATATAAATTACAGTTAGGATTTCTTTTTCCTATTTCAGTGGCCTCTGGGGCTCCACAATGATGCTAAGTGCCTACCTTTTATAGAAAGAGAATTCAATATATTATCCAGTGCATTACTGAGCTTTAAAGCATATATAGAAGCATGACAGGTGAAAGAGGGAGAAGAAGAGGGAGGGAGAGTATGTGTGTGTGTGTTATATCCTGATTCTTTTCATTGTAATCCAGGGTTCTCAGCAGAACTATGCCATTGTCCATGTTAGGGTCAGCCAATATGTTTTGTTTTTTGTTTTTTATTTTTTTAGAGATGGGGTCTCTCTCCCTGTCACCCAGCCTGGAGTGCAGTGATGCAATCATAGCTCACTGTAACCTCACACTTCTGGGCTCAAGCAAGCCTCCCACTTCAGCCTTCTGAGTAGCTAGGACTCTAGGTGCATGCCACTATGCCTGGCTAATTTTTCACAGTTTTTGTGGGGCATTTTGATATGTTGCCCAGGCTGGTCTCAAACTTCTGGCCTCAAGTGATCCCCCCTCCTTGGCCTGGGATTATAGGCCTGGACCACCCCACTCAACTCAGTAAGTTTTATAGCTGGGAAAACCAAGGAATACAGTGTCATACTACCCTCGGTCTTTCTGAGATATTTGCTCATTTAACATTTATTAATCACCTGCAAGGTTGCTAGGCATGTGCTGGATGCTGGGGGCACAAAGGTAAGTCAGGATTCCTGGTGTAAGGTGCTCCCAGTCCCCTGTGATGCAGACACACGGACACAGGCTGCATTAGAAGTGGCAGCATAATTGGGGAAGTATACACAGCACCTATGCCATCATCCTGAAAAGAGCCTAACTATACTTTCCTCGGCAAGTCATCTCCCTCAGTGAAAGTATTTATCTAGCTAAGCCACTGTGTCCCCAAACTCAAGCACAGAGAGCTTTGTAAACACATACCCAAGTCAGAGGGCAACTACCCCTTGGGCCCCAGCCACATTTTCAACAGTAGTCATGTTTACTACATTTATCAAGTGACTTTTAGGGACAGAGGACTGTTGGATGTCTTATGATTTATCTTTCTTTATCTATATAATTATTAGCCTTTCTCCTCTTCTTAACTTAGGGGCAGTCTGGATCAGTGAGCCTCCTTCAGGCGGAGTTTACATCCAAAGTGCCAAGTGATGTGAAGAACCGAGGTTACAAAGGACAGATTTATTGCAGAGACAAGGGCTAGCTAATCTATGTTTGCTTGTTGCCACTGAACAGGGAATTTACATCTGCCAGAACAGCCAGAATAGAAATGTTGGCTTGGGCGTCCATGCCCTTATTCAATTAATTGTTTTTGTCCTTTTGTTTGTCTTTGTTGTTTTTTGTTTGTTTGCTTGCTATAGCAAAAACAGATCTCCACATTGTTTCAAATACATTTGGCCAGTCAGTCAAAAGAATTGTCAAACTGTATCACGAGTATTTAACTTCCTTCCATCACAAAGTGATGGGACAGAGACATGAGGGAAGTGACTCATTTCAGCATAAAGACTTATTAAAAAGAGCTAAGTTACACTAAAATGAAATAGAACCACATGGGAGGATGTATCAAGTGTGTAACCTAAGGATTTAACCTGGGGCCTCTTCTGTTCAGTATTTTTTCTTGATGTCTTGAACAAAGAGCCCTATGATACACTCATTAAATGCTCACCGTCATCGACAGTACTTATGTTGAAGGCATATGCAAGGATCACAGAAAGGTTGAAGATAAATGTTTGGGCTTCATACTTTGAGATGGACAGACAGTTTCAGAGAAAATAAAAGTGACAAATGAGAAGCACCTTAATTTATTGAAAAACACCCTACAATGAAATGAAAGGGCTGAAAGTACGCCCAGAGTTACACGACTGACACAGCCACAGTAGATTATGGAAAGAAAGTCATATGTGTAAGAGGTAAATCCTAATCCCAGAGGACAAAGCCAGAGAAATCAAGTGTCCCTCACACTGTCCCACATGGCCACCATCTGTCAAGGGGCAGTGCCAGGCCAGCTCTGGATTGTTATTACTGAAAGAAACAGAGAAATATGAGCTGGGAGGATCCAGGCCAGATGGACTCCAGCCAAGCTCTTCTAACTGAATTCTGGGCACCTCTCCCCTTGCCTCACCCCTTCACACCTGGCTTGGCTGGCTTGACTTTCACTGTCCTGTCCTGTGGCCATGGACACCTGCTCCCTTTGGACAGGCTTTCCACCAGCCTGGACAGAGGTTTTCTTAGCTATGATGCTTAGTGCCTAAGTTTTCTCTCCCTCCCTACTATTAAACATGTCCCCCAAAAGTTCATGGGTTGGAAACTTAGTGTTGCCAAGGATTAGGAGGTGGAGGCTTTATAAGGTGATTAGACCATGTGGGCTGCACCTCATGAAGGGATTAATGCTGTATGGCAAGGGTAGGTTAGTGACCGTGGGAGTGGGTTCCTGATAAAAGATAAGTTTGGCCCCCATTCTCTCTCTGTCTCACATGCTCACTTGATTTTCTTCTTCCCACCATGGGATGATGCCACAAGAAAGTCCTCACCAGATAATTGAGCAGATGCCAACGCCATGCCCTTGGACTTCCCAACCCCCAGAACTGTGAGCCAAATAAATCCTTTTTCTTTATAAATTACCCAGTCAGTGGTATTCTGTAATAGCAGTAAAAAACTGACTGACACTCACCACCTAACAGTTGTGATTCTTTTGGATCTCTTCCCCACAATGAAGCTCCTGGATATAGTCTCTTCTTTTGGGGGGAGAATTGCCCTCTGAGTAAAAATCTGCTATTAGAAGAACACTGTGGTTGGCCTTGAGGATTCCAGGTGGATCATGGAGGAAGGTGTGGGAAGGGGAAGGGTACTCGTTTTAACCAAGTATTCTAGGTACCGGGCAACATGCTTGGCACTTTCACACACCTTATCCCATTTAATATTTTGGGTAACAGTGCAGGGGAAGTTAAAAAATGGAAAGAATTTAAGTCAAGCATTAGCTAGAAGTGGCAGAGTTGGACCTCAAACCCCAGTCAGTCCTTCTGCAAAGCTCTTTTTGTCTCAGCAGGGCTGTCAATGACAAAACCGTAAATTGGAGGGATTATGGAGTTTGGCGACTACATGGGACAGCACTGACCTTTAGCTGGTAAACACCAATATGGCCATATCACTGTTTTAGGCCAGCATCTGTTTTGTTTGGTCAGTGCCCAAGACCTATCAGTTGTTAAATGTTTGGGTATCATAGTTGCCCTTATCAAAATGAAATATGTGGCAAATAACAAATATTTGACTTCTACTTCTGGCAAAGAGAAAGTAACAGTGGCCAGATATGCTCTCCCACCTGAAACAACTAAAAAGCCAGATAAGATATATGAAACATGGTTTTCTGATATTGGACATCAGGCAATGCAAGACAGTGATTCCTGAGAGAAGAGGAACAAACAAAGTGAGGCACACAATTGCCCAAGCTTACTGCCAGGAGGGTTTTCAGGCTATCACAGAGCAAGGAGGAACCGTGGAAGAGTCTGGCAGTCTCCTTGAGTAAAGACATATTTGGTAGTTTGGGGAGGCCAACGCAGCCTAGAGTTTACAGAGCACAGTAGCAGAGAGAAGAGAATGATGTGTATACAAATGCAGGCACATACATACATGCACACAAAAAGCCCTCAGAGATCTAAAGAGGGTTTGCCTCAAGTCTTCAGCTGAGAACCCATCAGTGTATGTGTGTGAAGAAACTACACAACGCCAGGAAAAGACCCACCCCAAAAGATTAGAAGGTCACAGAAGGCTGGGAGGGGTTCTACTCTCAGTGAGAGTAGAAAAGCCTACTATTCACGAGGTATTGGGTAGAATGCTCAGAATAGCATTGCCTCAATAGTAGGACAAAATTAGTTCTAAACTAAAGGCTGCTTTGGTCTCTCATAAAAAAGATTGAAAATAAACTTCAAAAGGTTCAAATTGCTTCTCAGTAACTTATATGTATCCTAGAATAAACCTCAAAGATATTTATAAGAAAACAAAAATATCCAGCACCTAACAAGGTAAAATTCATAATGTCTAGCAACCAATGAAAAATTACCAGATGTGACTGGATAATCCTCAAACCTTTGAATATGTTGCTTTACATGTCAAAGGGAATTGAGGCCACAGATGGCATTAAGATTGCTAATCAGCTGTCCTTCTGATAGATTATTCTGAATTATCCCTAGGAGCTCAATATAACCACAATAGTCCTTAAAAGGGAAAGAGGGAAGTAAAAGAGAAAGTTGAAATAATTTAATGGGAGAAGGATTCAACTCACCATTGCTGGCTTTGAAGATGAGAGATGGCAATAAGCCAAGGAATGCAGGCAGCCTCTAGAAGTTGGAAAAGGCAAAGAAACAGATTCTTTCCTGGAGGATCCAGAAAGAAATGTAGCCCTGATTACACTTTGATTTTAGGCTGGTGATATCTGCAACAGACTCCTAACCTACAGAACTGTGAGATAATAAATTTGTGATGTTTTACGCCACTAAGCTTGTGGTTACTTGTTATAGCAACAGAAAAAAATAAGACACCAGGCATATAAAGAAGCAAGAAAGTGACCTGTAATTGCAGTCCATATCTTCAAAAAAGTAGAAGAAAAACTGAAGATGTTAAATCAAATACAGATAATAAAGATTCAAACTGAACTTGTAGAGATGAGAAGTATAATGTGTATGAGATAAAAATACACTGCATACAATTAACAACAGATATGACATTTAATTAAAATTCAGTAAACTTGAAGAACAGTAATAGAAACTATCCAAAAGTAAACACAGGAAGAAAAAAGATGACAGTAACAACAAAATGAACACAGCAGAAAAGACCTATGGGACAAAACAAGCAATCTAATACATTTGTAATTAAATTACCTGAAGGAAGACAGTGGGATCAGAAAAAATATTTGAAGAAATAATGGCTAGAGATTATACAAATTTGATAAAAACTATAAACTCACAGATCTGAGAATCTCAAGAATATAAGGCACAAAAAACATGAATAAAAGTACATGAAAGTACATCATAATCAAGTTACTTCAAATGAGCGACAAATTCTTTAAAGCATCCAGAAAAAAGGCATATTATATACAGAGGAACAAAGATAAAAATGAGAACATATCTCTTCTTGTAAACAATGCAAGCCAGAAGACACTGGAGTAACACCTTTACAGAACTGAAAGAAAAGAAAACCTTTTCTTTTACTAGGTTCTACATTCAGTGAAAATATCATTCAAAAATTTTTAAAATGAAAGTGACAGAAAATCTTTTTCAGACATAATAATCTGAAAGAATCCATCACCAGCAGATCTGAACTATAAGAA